GAGCATTCACAGGACCGATCACCGATGGCCAATCGTTCCTTCCTACTTTGCCAAAGGTGGCTCAAAAATGTCTTCCCTAGTCTGTCTATCCTAACGATATCCCTTCCCGCCTTTTCAAACCACTTCCTACTCCCCAGTACCGCTACCGTCCTCTCCTCTCTATTCCATGCCTCAAACATCTCCCTGTACCTCCCTTCTATTTTTCCCAGCTCGGTCATGTACACTTCCCTCTCCTCTTCGTACCACGGACATTCCGCGACTACATGAACACGGTCTTCGCACTCGAACCCGCAATCACATTTGAACTTGTCGTCTTCGTCGTCTACCGTCCTAGGTCTTCGTCGACGTTCTCGAAGGCCTATGTCCCCGGTCCTGAATTTGACCTTAAGCTTTGTCCCTGCATCCATTGGTCCATGCAGGTAGTCCTTGAACCTTCTCTCTCGGCACAAGCAAGAGATATCTTCTTCTTGAACCCCTGTAGACCCTCCGTTTCCAGCGTTTCATCTTCGTCGATGTCTAACCCCTTCCATACGTCCTCTACAACCTTGACCCATTCCGTGGGTTGTCTATCCCGCTTTTTGTTTGCCCACTTCGCCTCCCATACTATTCTCGGCAACCTCTCCTCTCCCATCCCGCACATGCGATATTGCCATGTCAGCTTCCTTGCGTCTCTTCCCGACCGTAGGGACTGGATCCCCAATTCTGCCCTGACGGCTGCATTACTTGCGCGCTTGGAGCATCCTAGGATGATTTTCGCTGCTTTTATCTGCGCCGCCTCGAGTTCTTTCACTACCTTATTTCCGTCCCATACTTCTCCGGTGTACTCTAGCGGCGGTACGACTACGCTCTTCAAAACCGCCAATTTGATGCGTGTATCGAGGTGCCGGTTTGCGAGTATTGGATGCAGCTTCCCTGCTCGCGCTTTGCCCTTTTCCGCTACCTTGGACATGTGTGCATTCCACGAGCAGTCGTTTGCGATCTCTACTCCGAGGTATGTGTACTGGTCCACTACTGCAATCTCCTCGATCCCCCACTCCTTTCTTAAACAAGCTCACAACCGCTCCTTCGCTCCATCTACTTGGCGCATACTCGTTTTTCCACACCCAGTTGTACAGC